CCTTGGGCAAATTCACCAGTCAGACAAGTAGTGGATGCTGTAAATTGCCAATGCAGTGAGGATTAAGAAGTGCGAATAGACATGACTTACTTCTCTTTAGCTGTGGCACTCGTTTCTTTCAACCACCCTGCCAAATCAGCAGCTTGGTTGCCAGCAGCTTCCTTTAAACATGGCACCACAACTCCGCTCCTACATCGATTCAAGACAGTCGATAACATTCGAGAATACCAACACCCAACAGGGCTATTGATGCTGTTCGAGGCAAACTCACTTCTCAACTGAAACCGACCTCAACGCATCCCTGCGCCAGCCCTCATCAACATCATCTGATTCGGTAAGGATTGAGGTAGCATAGAGCAAACGGGTTGACTTGAGTCTTTCTGACAACTAAAACACAAAAATTGAGAGATGAAGCCGCAGAAAGTCCTGCTTTATTTCCGCCTCAAGGCGATATGCCTCTTACGGAGGCAAAACTAAAAAAGAAGGTGTGTCAATCTTGGTTACTTATTTACTGCCACGGTGCTATGTGGTGTGGTTCATTAAAACTTCAACTAAAGCCTCCTTTTGTAAACATCACTGCAATTCGTGACTTTGGTTGAAGCTAAATCAAACGAAACATTATGCATTTAAGAGGCAATCGTCTTTGCCATATTGATATATTTTCAAAAGAGATAAAGGCCAGAAAATCATTGTTAAATATCGCCTGTCATGTTGAGTCGGGATAGTAAATCATCGCACCAACGTTTATCACAATATTGATCTGTGTGTGCAAAGTGCATATTCAACTCTAGCACCATAAAATGATAACCACTTACTATCTTAAATACATTAGACACCGACACCAATCGGAGAGGTGATGCGAAGCCGGTGGTGAGGTTTTCTATTTCTTGCACTCCTTCAATCAGGGCCCTCGCCCTTTGTCTGTATTTGAGAAGAATCGCCAATTTCTAGACAATTAAAGGAACGCTTCTGCATCCGTTTCTTTTGTGAATCATTCCAATCAAACAGTCCCTTTCTATAGAAAATCGAGGTTAATGGTTTCCTTGTTTTTATCCTTTACAGGTACAGTCGAACTAACAAAAATAACCGTTGAATACTGGCACACGCATCAGACTCAGCAGTGCACAACGCGGTTGAAAAACGTCGGGTAATAAAACGAAAGCAGCCAGTGTATCCTAACAACAGGCATTATTTGCATCAGCAAATTACCTTTGTAAAATACGCTAACATACCCCACATCCACGAATATGTGCCGAGTCTTGTTCCAGCTGTTTGAATTCCTCCCAGCATTCAAATAATTTGCGTGCAGCTTTCTCGAGGGTGACAGTTTCCTGTTTTTTAATAAGAGTGAGATGATCATTAGCCCTCAGCAAAGCATTATCAGCTGCCAGGTTAAGGTCCTTGGTGGCAGCGTCAATTTCCGTCTTCAGTGTCTGCAGACGGCTGGAAGATGAAATTTGCTGACGCATTTGCTGAAGCTTCTTTGCGATTTCCTCCTCTGACTGTAGACGCTAAAGAACCAACCTTGCTGCTAATTAAAAGTTGTTTAAACAATCTAGTGTGTTACGAGCATAAAAAAGTATAGCGCAAATAAAACAAGCTGCAAGACACTTGCAATCTCTACCATGTCTGTCAAGATACATTATTTCTACACCGTCTCATTTAGTACACTACTTTATATCAACTAATCACATTCACAATCTATGCAACCTAAGGTGAACTAAATGCAAACCCCACATCTGACTGTTCAGTTGCTGTGTCTTGTAAAATAGGTAAAAACAAGTTGCTTTTGTTAATTTTCTTAATTTTAAATGTACGTACCACATTGTTCGATGAAGGCAACAGACAACCAGTTGTTCCATTAACTGAAGCTTCCTCTAACATTCTTCTACATGAACAAAAACAATATAAAAAGCTAACAAACGATGTTTCCTTACATGTACCTGCTTCTACGTCATTAGGAAACTATGCTAGGTAGTTACTCTGCCTATTACATGACAAAACATATTTTGCATTACACAGGTGGAAAGCACTTCCAATTTGTGCCTGTATATTTAATTATGATCCCTGTGCATAACATGCCGAACATGAGCTAATAATTACAATAAACTTCTTATTTACATTGGTTTCGTTCTTAATCAAAAAATTTAACAATGTATTTTACATTAACATTAAGGTTATTTATAAAATGTCAAATACGTTCGTCAATGAATGGACTAATCAGGCAAAGTGACACAACATACTCAGTGCATCTTCTGTGGCATCTAGCTGAATAAATTTGATAATCACCTATCAACATGTCGTTGCTGTGTTTCATCGCATTTAACCTCTACCACTACAACAAATGCATCTTCCCTTGCAGAAATTGAAATATCTCAGCCATGTACTAATGTGTTTCCACAAAAGTTTAATTATGCGTGATTTCATCGGAAATGTTAATAGCAGTTTTCAATAAAGAAAATACCAAAAATCAGCCTGACACGCTACTAAAACCTGCATTAATTGTCAACATTGACTCATTCACGCTAGCTAGAAGTAATGAAATATCTATGCACAGGTACATGCATTTGAAATTATCATCTAATTGGAATTGAATTGCTTAAGCTGAATTCCACTGCACGCTAACATTTACCTTGTTGCTTCGTTAATTTTCACCACTTTCTTAAGATTATAAATGCATAAACGACAAATCAAAATTATCAACACAAAAGTCAGACCCGCAAAAATGGAACAGCGAGGTAATCGGAGAACGCGCACACCTGAATGACAGTCCGAAGGTCGTCATGTACGCTGCCACAATACAATAAAAGTATGAGGTACTTGCATTAAGATAATTAAATTGAGGAAACTGCTATGACATTACAAGATTGATTCACCAATAATAATCCATTGATTTTGAGTAACAGCATTATTTTGTCTAAATATTAGTTGGGCATGAATGAAGAAAACTAAATTTTGTTCATTTGGATCACTGCATATTGTCTTAAGTTGCAGATTAATACTAAGCCAATTTGCCTGTTCTCAAGTCCATCCCTTGTAATTTTTACCTGATTGATGATTTATCCGTCCGTGGTCACCCATTTATTTAACTTGCTGCAGATGTGACATGTAACTTCCTTCCGAAATGTCAACAGCAATGTCAGGCTTAATTAATTGCGCATTCAAGCACCAATCTTTTGGTTATTACGCTAAGAAGTTATCAACAGCGATGCGTGAAAAAAAATAAAAGTTTTGAGAATGCTGTGGTTCTACAAATTGCGCAAGTTCAGAGAACGCAGAGCATTCGGTGTAATAGAAAAAGGAGAAAGTAGTCCTAAACGAAAAAATAAATTTGTAACGACGGTGCTTCTATAGCATAGAAAAACCGATGGGTTACACCTGATTAAATTCACAATTTCTTCGTGTAAGTTTTCAATGTCATTAATAGATATTTTTCATTAGCTTGTATCTCATCTTAATTTTTGCGGGTAATCACAACACACTACAACTTCGTACACAAATTGGTCATGCACACCACTAAGACACAGTCTGTCCACTCTACAGCAATTCACACCACGATATTCTAGCATGTTCACGCATCCGTTGCAAAACACAACTGAAATTTGACGTAACACATTTCTGCACAAATGAAAAGTCCCGTTCGTCTTGTGACACTTCCGATCGCACTGCTTGTGTACCTGAAACACCATAACCCTAATTAATACATATTTGCAGAGGTATGCTTCTGCCTCAGAGGGAAATTCGAACGCAGTGGTGGATTTTTCAAGAAGGGAAATCAGGTTGACGTCTGAATTATGCTTTAACAGGACAACAAGACAAGACGCCGAGTACTTCAGCTATTCGTTTGAACATCAAAAGAAGATACAACAACCAGTCTAGTCACCGCTAATACGCATGCGCTCACCAAAGGATATTTTATGCATAGAAGGCAAAGACATTATTGTAACTTTAATACTAGTTGACTGCTTTGGGTTCCTGTCACTGTAGTTCGTGGAAGAGATCAAAGTAATCCTTATAAACAGTTGACATCCCTCAGTAGTCAAGTACACAATGTTGTACAATGGAAGATAGATGGCCCATTGACTACGCAGGCTGCACGCACCCAGTAAAGATAGTTAAGATCGTCGTCAAATCTTGTTCTTCCTGTTCATCTGGTCTTATTCACCAAAGTCTATTTTGATTGACATTGTCGACGCAGAAATTTCCAGAATCACTTAACAACATGCCTTAAAGTTTGTATGTTATTTTTAAAAAAACCAACAAATACTATTGCTAGCTACTTTCGCCTTCACAGACCTAGAACATTCAATAAGTAACGCAATGCCCTGACATTTCTTCATACGCTTTTGTTTTCATACCTTGACCTGCTTCATTAGCCAATACTGTGACATTTGAATGGTCGCTTGCGTCCAAATAGCTCCATTCACCGCAATATACGCCATGCTAATTCACGCGTCGACACCCTCATCATTTCAATTGATACCTCAGACTGGACTTAGTATTTACGCGGGAATGCGCGTTTTTTCACAAAAATGCCTTACATTTGCAGATTGAAAAATCAAAAACTGAAGAAAATGCTTTGAAACTACTGTTTCGGCTTTTTCCAAGAAGGCAATGAATGATTTCCCAAAGAGATGAGGTGCTCACTGAATTGGTGATTTAAATATAGACTGGATTATGTAGAAGGATTGAAGTTAGATGACAGATTGTTGGCAAACAATTATAATTCAATAAAAGTCACATAATTACATGTTTATGTGGTGAAAATGTCCAACATCGTCCAACGCGCCGAAACTGTTGCTGGCAAATTTAGCAGCTGTTAGTGAAGCGGGTAAGACAGTGGTTTTGGTGAGGACTAGTCAAAATACCATCCTGATTTCGCGAAACTAAAGTAGATTAATTACAATTTGAGGTTTTCGTAGCAAGTACACCTTATTATAGACTATTCCAACAAGATACATTTTACTTACGGTTTATCCCTGTTAGTTTAAAGACAAGATAAATTAATAAGGACACCATTTCACAACGTTTACAACTGTCGCCATGACAGAGGCTCTATACGTCTTCTGTGACGCTATGAATTATTTGACTGATTACACTAACAAATTGTTGTACATTGGTGGATTAAAACGGATTAGGGGTGCAAGGTATCACCAAACTTACATAAATTTGCTAAAATAAGGAGGAAAGGATGCATAGTGTATCTCACAAGTCATCTGTTTACGGGGTTCAACGGCGTCTGACCTACAGCCACAACTAAAATGGACGTTTTTCGGCTTGTGGAATAGGTGTTTGACTAGTTAGTTGTCGTTGTCTAAGAATCCGGTTTAACATCAGAATCTCCTGCAACTGCATAGACCACATCATGTCGGCTAATTTTGGGCAAAGAAATTTACACTTTTGGTAACAATGGCAATTCAAAGTTGGCGGAGTTGCACCAGCGATTGTGCTAGACACACAAACGTAGTTGCACAGCTCACCAGAGACTACCCACCCGACCAATGAAATCGTGAACAGGTAAAGTCGCATTTACATACATTGGATGCAAGACTGCGGCGCCGACTTGATGAACCTTCTTCAAACTCGCGACAATGGCACTGGTTATGTCACTGTAGTCGCACAGTGCTTTTCCAACACCGCAGTCGACAACTCTCGCGACAGGCCCGTAGTGGCCAAAGTGCTCTTTCAGCTGGTCCAAAGAAGTGCCTTCGCGAACACCATCGAAAACAACTGGGTAGCACTTTCGAGGATCTGGAAGATTGCTGGAGCAAAGAAGACACAGTGAACTGACAAGCACATATTGATCTCGATTACGCACAATCGTGGAATGTGAGAAAATGCTTTGATTTACGTCCACTATTGGCCTGCAGCTAAGCATCCCCCTCAATATCGATCAGTGCAGAAACTCACGTAGGACACCGCAGCGTTAGAGTGAGAGTCGAGGAGCTAATCTGGATGGGATCTGCAGCGAGAGCAGCCCAAGCGGATTTGAAGAGGTCGAATGCTACGTAGCCGCCTCCACTTGCTGAGTTCCCTTCCACAAGGGACTCTTGGTGTATGTCCACAATGCGGCCAAACTGGATGAATGCGAAAAAGAGGTCAAGCAACAAGACGTCCTTTCCTGCGCCCACGAATTTGACGCAGTACAACTTCCTCGACGTGCAATCCAGAAATGAGGATAATGCTTGCAAGCAGAATAGTGCAGTGCGATGTTCCACAGAAGAATGAAGTGTGCTTAATACTTTGTTTATAAAATTGCACTTTTTGCATCAAAAAGCAGAGCAATAACCCAGTTATGATTGCCAAAATATAAATAAAACGAATGTTGTTTAGACCAGAGAAAAACAGTATACGGTGCCAGAATGCGACACCCTCATTTGTCGTTGAACCATATAAAGAGATGAAAAACATGTATGTGGGAGTAAGGCATTTGGCATTTAATTTGAAATGTCATGCAAAGTTCAATTACTAGCATGACCTCACAACTGTATGTCTAAATTAGACATTATGAGTAGAGCAAAGGTGCGCCATTCAAGCACAGTTGAGTTCATGACTGGATCAAAAAGTGAAAGCAGATCTCCGATATAAGAAAAATTAATGTTGTATCAATTCGAATGACTGTGTTTGCGCTACTCACGGCGGAGCAGGTGGTTGAAGACGGTCCAAATATGATAAAATCTGAGATATCGTAGGTCTTATCTATTGAAAAGCAGCAGAGGTACTTTGACAACTGCTAAAAGGAAAACCAACATGCAACGCTGATGGTCCTGCACCCAAAATGACAGCAGAAAACAAATGAACAGTTTAATTTTACACAGAAATGCTACCGCCAAAGAAATAGAATATCTATGACTTCACTACTTGCTAGTAAAACCCACTTTTGCTACTTATCTCGCGTCATACAGGTCGTTACTAAGTAACCATATTTTGTATAAAGCGTTCCTGCTCTCTTATTTGTTCAAGCACTCACCTGATGGATGACCACATTGAACAGATCAGCGTTCCCGACTATTCACTAAGAAATGGCGTGACAGACTAACTGTGCTCTCAACAGCGATTCATACGCACACCCATGCACACTTTCGATGACTTACTGCAGTTGATCTCACTCATCCACCTCATTTAGACTTTGGAGGTACAAGATTCACTGATAAACACGCTAACAACGCCTACATGCGGTTCGCTAAAATGGACGTGAATCTGGAGAGGCGGTAGTGCAGATTGTTAATTGCGTTCGGATACAGGATTGTCTAGCCGTACGCAGTCTTGTGTATACGTAATAAACAGCCGTGAAGTAAGCCTAGACCATCGGCAACGTATATCCCATTGTGGGGTGATTCGATAGCGAATGTCAGGCTATCACTGGTTAAAGAACAGTGACTAGGCCTAGAATGGCAGATTTATCAGACCTTGCACCTTTAGGACCAATTAGTGACATGTTGTACATCCAAAGACTACTCGCTAGCAAACGGCAATGCTGACTAAAATGTGATAGCCAGGGAGGTGGTGCCCACAATGTCATGACATATAAATGGAGAGTAAAAATCACCTCTACTCTAACCACAACTTCGACTTACCAAAGCCTCAGATGTAAATTCAGTCGGGCATACGTTACGCGCTAGTAGTGAATCGCACGCTTTTACCGACTGCTGCTGCCTGCAGACATTTCCTTAACATTATCGATACAACCTATAGCACCCGTTCAATCTCCACCAGGACATCTGATACGCGCGAAAGCTGTTCATCTTTACACTTTTCGATAAAGGACTGATTAATTACAGGCGATCATAATTAGAATCAATTAAAAGCGGGCTTTTTGAGGCAATTTTTTTTAATATTCGATCCATCAGCCGCGGGTTCAATAATTTACACTTAAATTTATCTTATTGACACACCGATAAAGTAATTGAATTACAATGAGAAAAATTACTGCGATGTGATTGGCTAATGCACCACTTAAGTAAGCTGCTACCTACGTCAGTTTTGATTTTTCCATGCGTAACATCTTAATCCTAGCGGCGCCAATGAAAATCCGTGAAGCGGCTAACGCCGACTTGGCTGCAGTCAACGAGTCGAAGGTTACGAAACCCTCCCCGCTGGCGTGCACTCCATCCGGTAGGAGAAAGCGACGGATCTCGCCAACGTGTCCAAACACAGAGAATGCATTTCTTAATTTGGGTTCGACGATGTTTGCCTCCAGGCTCTTGAAGAACACGCGGTACCTGATTTCATCCTCGCAACTCTGAAGTGATGTGCCGATTTTTTTGCTTGATTAATGCAAAAGTAAGACTGTGTCAGTAAGATTTAAACAAGAGTCGGACACACTGGTCGTATTATGGAGGAACACACATATCACCAGTGCTTTCACACTCTAATCACATTCAAATCCTTTCAATTCACCCGATTTCATATACGAGGTAGATCGAACCTGTTTATCTGACCAGTATAGCCAGCAATGCGTGGACTTACTACATTTTGACTTCCACACCAGTTAGTACAATGCAAAAGACGGTTTGTGTGTAGATCAGCAATATTTGCGTAGTTGATATGAAGCACTGCGTATTCACACGTGAAATGGAGTCGCATCAACTGTGATAGAAAACCAACAATAAAGTTGAACACTCAAAACGGCTCAACTGTGCACTAAAGCTGAATGAAAAGCACGCAGTCTGCCTAAGAGGATCAATGCACATGCTAAAATAACCACCTTGGATTCCAGCTTCAGTGGCTTAGTTACAACACTCAACCTAATACACGAACATAGCAAATTTGTGATGCATCCATTCACACACCCTTTTTCGCAAATTTGCCTGAACAAAACTCCCCATAACTGAGTCCGACTGCGAACATTGTCTGTTGGCTAGGGTGGCAGTGTTTAGGGGACTTACAGTGGAGGCGGAGGTAAAGGAGGCGGTAGCATGTTAGGCCGTTTCTGAACAATCATCGGCATTTTACTTGGAGCTTCAGCCGGAAAGGTCAGGCGACCACTAAAAGCAAGCACAACATTGAGTTATGATGAACCCCCCTCCGAAACAAAAACTAATACGAGGTACAGAGCTGATGTCAGCAGCTCAAAATACTGCTTTTTCAAATGCTACGTGAATCATTATGAGAAGGTGGACACTAAATTGTCCTGCGTAAATTTGCTGATGACTAGAGCAACATTTGTGTGTGCTGTTGACCTCTTTCACCGCCTCAGTGATTACCACTTACCACAGCCGCTGTGAACTCCTTCACAATTAACACAGCATTTCCTGGAAGAGGTTTTCCATTTACTGAAAAAACTGAATGTGCTTTTTAAAACACCGTTACCACAACATCAGCATAGAAGAGAATTCTAAAACCGCTTACGGCTTTGGTTCGCACACAGTGCCTGATCTCAAGTGGACTTCCTTAATTGAATTTATTAAGATTAATGATTGACAGAGATCGTAATTCCACTCATTTTGTTAGATATCAGGAGGTACGCACAACACGCCTGGCGCTCTCTATTCTCGACATGCTACACACACACACTCTGGTGTTGCAAGTCGACAGGACACAGTCAACCAAGGAATATGATAAAACTAACGACGTTTTCCAGCTTTCGCATTAATATTAAACGAATCTACCATTAAAGTACCACACACACTTGAAATGACATCATTCACGTCTTCTTCAACGTGGGTTCAAATGTGCGCAGGAAAACGGGCTTCTTTAAATACAGCGGTGATGAAGACGACTGTGAAATTTGACGAAACTGGAGACGCCAATTGCTCGGCACAAAATACCATGGATATGGTCCAGAGTGTGTGGCGATAGTTCAGAACTATCTAGCATGGAGTTACTTCAATTTCAATTCTGACCAGGCACTTTTGCTAGGACATTTCACGACGTTCATCTCAGAATGCAGAAACGAAAAATGACTTCCAAGTGCCCGTGTAAAGCGTCGTGTTTGGGACGTACCGTTTGGCTGGCGAACTCGCTTCCCTTGAACAACCAGTCGACTTAGTAACTTGCGCTCCAGCCGTTTCTCTTGAACACGCCGCCTCGTCTTTTCTCCTTCGTCGGCGCACAGCCACCGTTAACGTTCTAAAAAAATAACAACAAACCGCGGTGCTGCCACCTCTTAGCTACAGCTGATCAGTCCACTTATTCAAAGAAAGAATAAGAGGTACAGTCGCGTTCGATCATTCATTTTTTTAAAACTATACTAATGTAGACAATAAGACATTTCAATGACGTTGGATTTATCAGTTCTGCGTTCAATCATCTAAAAATGGGATGTGGCCAGTTAACAATTCATAAAAAAAGTCTATCTGACTTTTTCGGTGATGGATCTAACAACTAACTTCAGACCTTGGTGGTGTTTTGTCATCACTTCAGAATTCTACCTATTTAATCAGGCACTTACGGCTCTTTTAGGGCTTCCAAGCGTGACATTATGATTCGAGAGGTGCGGATGGAAATAGGTGAAGCTGCCAACGCCGAATTGGCTGCAGACAACGAGTCGAGGGTTACGAAACCCTGGCCACTCGTGTGCACTCCATCCGGTAGGAGAAATCGCTGAATCTCACCAACGTGTCCAAACACAGAGAAGGCTTCTCGTAAATCGGGCTCCTTTATGTTGGCCTTCATGCCCGTGAAGAACACGCGGTATCCAGTATCAACATTACCACGATGAAGTGATGCATCGACGCCGTGACTTGATTGATACATAGAGGTGAACAAATTAGGATGAGGCATTTGTAACGGATGTTGTGAATTGCTAATGCATTGAGGATTAAGAAGTGTGAATAGACATGACTTACTTCTCTTTGGCTGTAGCACTCGATTCTTTCAACCACCCTGCCAAATCAGCAGTTTGGTTGCCAGCAGCTTCTTCTGACCATGGCACCACAACTCCGCCCCTACATCGATGCAAGACAGTCGATAACAGACGAGTTTACCAACACCCAAAAGGGCTATTGATGCTATTTGAGGCAAACTCACTTCTCAACTGAAAACGGCCTCAACGCATCCCTGCGCCAGTCCTCATCAACATCATCTGAGGTAGCGTAGACCAAACGCGTTGACTTAAGTCTTGCCGACAACTAAACCCCACAAAATAGTAAATGACATTGAAATTGTACTTTTTATTGGAAGTTGTCGAAAGAATTTTTAACTTAAGATAATGTATTCTCTACAATGGAAAACTATAACAACGACCTAAGTTTTCGAGGATAATCTTCACATACTAACAAAGAGCTGGGAACGATTAGATTGAGCAACAAGACATGGGCAAATAAATGCAGATTTTGCAGTGTGTTGCAATGTGAGGAAATTAGTTTAATTAGTTAATATAGCTATGTTTAATCAGAACGACATTTTAGCTTTAAAAAATGCATGTCACTTGCCAGCTTAAAATCATTGGATATCGATAGCAACCGAAGGGAAGATGCAAGAACTGCAGTGATGTCTTCGATCCCTTTCACCCCTTTAATAACGGCCCTCGCTCTTTTTCGGTATTCAAGAAGAATATTTAAGTTCTAAATAATTGAAGAAAAAGGGCGTTTACAATTTGCTCTTGAAAGTCATGGAAACTGGGTGCGCACTGGCTGCGCAAAATCCCTGTTTGATGAAGCAATGTCGCATACCAAACAATAATTGAATGATATTAACACACATCGAATCTAGTAGTACAAAATGCTGTCTAATTAGCACATTTTTTGTCGAAAACACAAGTAAAAATCGATTATTTCTATTAACACTATGCTACATTCACCTCAAGGTATTCCTTATACGACAGTATCATAACATACCCCACATCCACGAATATGTTCTGAGTCTCGTTCTAACCGTTTGAACTTCTCACTGTATTCCACAACTTTGCGAGCAACTTTCTCAAGGTCGGCAGTTTCCTGTTTTGCAATAAGAGTAAGACGACCATTAGCCCTCAGCAAAGCATTATCAGCTGCCAGGTTGAGAACCTCGATGGCAGCGTCAATTTCCGTCTTCAGTGTCTGCAGACAGCTGGAAGATGAAATTTGCTGACGCATTTGCTGAAGCTTCTTCGTGATTTCCTCCTCTGACTGTAGACGCTAAAGAACCAACTTTGCTGCTTATTAAAACTTGCTTTAACAATCTAGTGTGTCAAAAATATAAAAAAGTCGAGCGAAAATAAAAAAAAGCTGCAAGACACTTGCAATCTACACCATGTCTGTCAAGATACATTGTGTCTACACAGTCTCACTTAGCGCCCCACTTTACATCAACTAATCACTTTCACAATCTATGCAACCTAAGGTGGACTAAATGCAAACTCCACATCTGACTGTTCAGTTGCTGTGTCTTGTAAAATAGGTAAAAATAAGTTAGTTTATTAATTTTCGTAATTTTAAATGTACGTACCACATTGCTCGATGAAGGCAACATAAAACCAATTGTTTCATTAACTGAAGCTTCCTCTAACATTCTTCTACATGAATAAAAACATTAGAAAACATGTGTTAAAACTGTTTCATCACATGTACTTACTTTCACTTTATTGCGTAATTACGCTAGGTAACTAATCTACCCGTTATTTGATGAAACGCATATTGCATTACTCAGATGGAAAACACTAAAAATTTGTCCATGCGTTTTCACTTAAAATCCTTAAGCAAAACAACCCAAACATAAACTAACAATTACAATAAACTTACTGTTTACACTGGTTTTGTTTCTAATCAAAAATATCAACAATGCAGTTTACATTAACATTATGGTCATTCATAAAATGCCAAAACGTTTGTCAATAAATAGAATTATTAGGCAAAGTAACAACAAGTGACTGATGCAGTTCAATTTATCACACAGGCAATGCTAAAACACAACATGCTTAGAGCATCTTCTGTGCAAACGCAGACTGTGGCATCTAGCTAAAGAAATTTGAAAATCACCCATCAACAGGCTATTGCTCTGTTTCGTCACAATAAACCTTCATCACTACAACAAATTCATCCTCCTTTACAGAAATTATAATATGCCAGTCATGTATTAATATGTTTCCACATAATTTTAATTATGCGTGATTTCATCGGAAATGTTAGTGATACTTTGAAATAAGGAAAAAAGAATAAATCAGCCTGATACGCTTTAAAAAATTGTATTAATGGTCATTATATGCTTATCTACACCACCTAGAAGTAATCAGATGTTTATGCACAGGTGTATTCATTTGAAAACTAAGAACATTCGGGTCTTTGAGTGCTCATGTTAAATTTCATTGCTTTGCATACTCGTTAAATTCTAACTAAGAAGGGCGTTTTTTTAATGGCTAAGGGACACATAAACTAGGGGTCAAAATTATCGACGCACAAGCCAGACCCGCAAAACTGGAAGATAATCGGAGAACGCGCACACCTCTACCAGAGTCCGAAGGTCGTTGTATCCGCTGCCATGATACAATAAAAGTAAGCGGATCTTGAATCATGACTACGAAAATGAGATAACCGTTATTTCGTAAATTACTTTACCTGTTTATATAAACCACATTATAGATCTCTTACGCAAATTATTAAAGCTGCAAGTGAAAGTCATCGATTTGAAGTGGAAGCATTAGTTTGGTTTAGCATTAATTTGGTATGAATGAAGAAAATATTTTTTTGTCATTGAGATCACTGCGTATCGTCTACAGTCGAAGATTACCATTAAACCGATTCGCCTGTCGATTTCGTATTTTTTAACCTCACCCTCCTTTCATGGCCCGCATTCAGGTGTATAACCGGAAACCTCAAAATCATCACAGGATTCACCTAGAATTTCTGTAAACGCGTAATTTTAATGTTATATAAATGGTAATGCAGAGCATTATTTGTCCTTAATTCTCACGGAATTTAATAATGTAGGTCACGTTCGAACTATGATGATGTCTGAAATATAGTAGGCCAGTTAGTCAGAACAGTAGCCACATAACTTCTACAAAAGCTAATCGGATGAGTATAATTTGGTGCAGACACTTCGCACACTGCAAAAACTGGCAAAATACAAATGGCTAATATATTAATATAAAAGTTTCTATGATGACTTTTTACAATGACATCTTGTTAAGAGCCACCACACAACTGCCACACCATGAGATCATGAACGCATTAGGCAAGACTTAATTTTTTTTAGAATAGTCTACAAATGTGTAATGATTGAGGTTTGAGTTTTTTAGCACACTAGGTCATGTTGAACTAGGAATCACAGATGCACACATGGGGATTTATACACAGATACATAACCGAAACGATGCAGAGAAACTTAGAATTAACTATGTGTCTAGGTAGTAGTCGGCTGCAATGATAAATGTAAACGCCAAAATTCACAACGGTTTGTTATGAATCAATTTAATTCACATTCGTTAATTTGTTCACTTCAGCCTCGGACTTAGGGACCCCCTTTTTGCAGCATGTCTTAACTCCTCCCACATTAACCGAATGATCATCCTGGATTATTCTCACACAGGTTTTGATGTTAGCACATCTATGACCCACACATCTGAGGTATAAATGCACGTGCGCAAACTTTACACACGACACAAAGAAACCAATTCGATTAAGTTCTTAAATAAACAGTCGTGTCCACGTCCTCTTTGATCTTCTTCTTCATCTCGAGTAACAGAGAAGCGTAATTGGGCCAGACATAACTCAGTGGCTCTAGCTTGGTTTCAGACTACATGCTGAGGCCGGAAGAACTCGGTAAAAGTGTAGTCTTCAAGCATTGATAACGATAACATCAAAATGATCATTTAAAGTATAATACAAGACTTGTAGACAAATGAGAGTGGAGGACTGGTTTAAGTCGAGCAAGAGAATTTGAAGATTAAGATGGGTGAGATACTCAAGATTTGCGACAAGAAATTGCTTATCTAAATATCCAATAAATATAAAACTGCCAACTGCCAGCCTGAGGATCGAATTGGCTTTGGGGTGGGGTCACTAGTTTCAGAGGCAGAAAGTTGAACCCTCGTTAAAGTAAGACATATGGGATCGACAAGGCAGATATGGTATCCAGTCAGGGTCAATCACAATTGTGGCTTCGGTGCTGGGCTTAGTGGTCACATTGGCCTCTTTAGCTGTCGTAGTGGGCAGTGCAATTAAGGACGTTCTTAACATATGCAATTTAAATTGAAACAAATCTATTGCTTCTATTCAAATGGATTTTTCTTGAGGATAGACACTTGAAATCCGGCTAGGGAAGTGAAATGTATAAAATACTTTAATACCGGTTCATGTGCTGGATTTAAATTTTCTTCACATCTGCAAACTTAGAAAGATTTCAAACGCTGAACTTTAATGTGCTATGAGAGCATTTATGCATTTTGCACACCCTCCCAATTTGTCATTCATGAATGCAAAGTGGAATTGATAATCCAAAGTTCTAAACCGTTTTTTCATAATCTCAAACTTAAGGTCCCTTAAACCCAAATTGCCAAGGAATACTGCACTTGTATTTCTAACTGAACGCAATAACTTACATTTCTGTCAAATGGTTAGGCAAAAACATTTTTGACACTGATTTCAATGAAGCAATCTACCAAATGCTTTTTTTATTCAATTTATCGCTATTTTACAACATCCGACTAATGCTTGCTAAGAAAGTCAAGACATTGGCCTTGTAGTGACTATAAACCAATTCCTAATTTGCTCGACGAATTGCATGTTGAATCAATTAGGCAACCTCCATCTAAACGTTTTACTTCTCATTAACCCTAAAGTCTGTATTTTGGTAAAAAACAGCCCAATAATTTCAAAGTATCCCCGCAGTGGTTTTCATTGTATGTTCCCTCTAAAGTAAGAAAATTTGAGTTTAAGTACTCTTCTGCTATTTCGCTGTCTTCCGAAGATCATTTGACAGGATTTATCAAAAACTTAAAGCCATTTTTTGCACACATTAACCATGATATTAGGTTATAACCTGGCATACAAAATCACTCTTTACTTTGACACATGCTCATGTATACTTTGTAAAACACAGCAGAAATTATGCGCAAATCAGTTTAGCACAAATCAGGAGCCATTGTCAACTTTGAACACATCTGACGACACCGTTGGACTACCTGCAACGCCATGATCACAGAGGATAAAGATTCGATCCTTAAAAAATTCCAGAAATGTGTTTATGTTCCAGAGTAAAATCCGAACACAGTCAGGGATCCACCTAGGCAAAAAACATGCTAACAGCTGGATTTTGGGACTTTGCTGAATTACAGTACTGCAAGACAAGGCGCCGAGTGCTTAAGTAAGAGATACGACAGCCAGTCTAGTCCATTGCATTAATCAACTCGTTCGTAGAAAGATCTCCAATGCGCGAGAATTTGAAAGCCTGTTTGCGACTTTTAAAACACAACGTTTTGAGACGCTCCTACAGGTAGTCAATGAAATTCCACAATGAGTGCTTCCCGCGTCATTCACATCCCTCAATAATCAAATTTTGCACATAAGAAGAATAAAACCACTTGGCCCACACAATGTTTTTCCTGTCTACCTGGTCTTGCACTTCAAAAACTACATTCATAGGCACAGTCTACGTACAGGTTCAAATGTGCCTTTACTCAATAATGGTCACATAGTTAGGAATTGGATGATCAATAACTGAAGGCAGTGTCATGCAACTATTGTTTTGGCGTTTATCGAGAAGGCGACAAAAGATTTCCTAACGTAAAAGGTTGATTCCTGAATTGAGGTCCTGAATTCAGGCGAGTTAATCCGATTCAGGCTCTATGTGAGGGGTACGAATTTTTCTATAAGGCCTCCTTTCTGTGGAAGCGTTCAAATAACGTGAATCGGACACCATCCCTTTACTCACTGTTGACAGCAGAGGCGGAACTCCTTGAATGCCGGCTTCACCTGTCATGGTGATTCATCAGATGTTCCAAACACTGGATCCATAGACGTTGTTCGGGAGTAGGACAACTGCACCTGAGGAGGCATCCGCACGTCGGCCACGATGGCTAGAACAGTAAATCTAATTCGGTAAAATAAAAAAACGAATATGCCTTTTTCGAAAAACATGGTTTTTACTCACACGAATTTCTATAAATTTTACTGTCTAATTTTTGCATTGCTGTGCGTCAGTTGCTGTTAGGGCCTATTAGGGTCTTTAGCAAATTCTCTCTATTTCAAGGTTTACAGATAGCCCAATACGAATAAGCATCGAAAACGTCTCTCCAGTCACGTTTACTTTCTCTTTTAATCTAAATTACACCTATGACGTAGGCGTCCATAATATTCACTAGCAATCGAGACCACGAATTTATACGGTAGGATGAAATTTGATGTGGGTACGACATCAAACAACAAATTGCTGCTCACTGATTCACTCAGTTTAGTCTAGAACACGGAAATTATTTGCACTCTTGCAATGTTAAATTTAACCCTCAATTGGACATACACATCTTCGTATAGTGAATTGTCTTCGTACTCTCGTACAAGGGTTTGCTGATTTGG